TATATGTACCTCTTGATGAAAAGGCAAGAAAGAAGAGAAAGTCCATAACTTTAGAAGTTAGGTCCACGAGAGAGTCAAGCATACTTTATAAAAAGAAAACTAAATCAATTAAAATATCTGATTTTTATGTGTATTAGCCAACCATACGATGTGGACAGAAATCTGACTAAATCTTTTTAAAATTTCTATAAATACCCAGTATTTGCTTACATGAATATGCAATTCAGATTCCAACGTGCAAAACCAATTTCTTTCGAGTAGACGTTTTTTTTTTCAAATTTGAAATCTAAACCAAAATTTGTACAACTTCCTTTTGGGATATTTACTTACAGCTCTAATGAGTCACAATGTCCCATTTTGTGATATTCTCATCTGATTAGAAGATTTATCCCAACTTGTAAAATTAATATTTTGCTACACCTCTTTGTTCTGCTTTACTATTAGGTCTCTATAATGCATTCCTATGAATAAGAACCTTAAGTAACGTCCCAAAAAGTAGTTCCAGCTGTGGTTTGCAAGGAGTTATTATACAATTCAAGGTTTTTTTTATGCAAAAAAGTATATTATTCTGTATATGATTCAGCAAATCAAATTGCTTGATACTGGTTAAATTAATTTGATATCTCAAACTGGTACTTTTGCAGTTCATTTCTAAAGGAGCTACTTCTAACAGAGAATTGGTTGGATGAAATTTAAAAAAAAGTAACAAGTACTTCTCAGATACCTACTATATCTGTGAGAAACTGTCAAACCTGCTTTATTTGATGTGCATTAAAAATCATAATCAGTTCTAATTTTAAACTGGATACTTTTGCTACTTATGTTATTCATAAAATCATGTCTTTAATATTTTAAAGAGGAACACACATTTTGTTTTGTCAATTGTTCCTCAGTTTGTTTTATAATTTCAAGAAGGTGACTTTTTTGTTTGGATTCTGCTTCAATTTTGAACTAAATGGATCAGACTCCAGAAAGAAAGATACATATTGAGTTAAAAGAAGTTATTTTTAAGAATATAGAATACATAACTTTAAACTGAATCACTGGTACTTTTAATTATTCACAATATTATAATAAAGCTCACCAGTATCTGAAATATCAACTTGTGTATCAGCAAAAGATAGTTCTCCGAAAGCTTTCTTTTAAATTTTGTCACACCTGACAAAAAAATTATCCAGGCTGATGTAGACTGTCAATTCAAGCACAGTTTACGCGCGAAAACTTGATGTAATAATACGAGATCATCAGCGGTCAGAAAACTATTTCTTCCTTTTATTTATTATGAAGAAGTTGTATAGAACAAAAATCGAGTCTCACTAATTACAATTGTACTTTCAAATACAACTTTGAGAAAATATGGTGTCATGAATATACTCATCGTCGCAAACCACGGCAAAAATGTACGATCCTCTCCCATTCTGGCCGTGGTTGAACGAGGAGAGAATTCTTTGTAGCTCATTAAAATATTGACCAATGCGAGTAAAGCATGGTCGGATGATGAACTTTATCGCGACCTTTCAATATTAAATCGCAGTGTAGGAAATATTTCTTGTATACTGTTGACGCCAATTATTGATTTCAATATTGCGATGGAAACAAAACATTCCACTGACTGAATATGGCGTCACAATAGGGAGGCGTAAATATGCAAGATTACGACACTTTTTGTGATCAAGCAGTCACGGGTAGGAGAGATCTATATGCGGACTCCGGACCGTGGATTGAGACGATGGAATATACTCTGTAAACCACGTCATTTGGCCTTAAAGATACCTTTATGCAGATTAACAATTGATGTATATGTTTTCTTTTCTTACTTTGAAGGTTGCTTTCATGCTCGAAAAACAGGGTGATGCAAGCCCTGGTTTTGTCTGCTGTTGTAAATCGAGTGAAGATAGTGAGACCAATAAATTATAGACAGAAGTATATAACTGATCTCAAATATGTATATGATGGAAAGCTGAGTATTTCTGTTGTTAACACGCAAGTTGAAATTGATCCTTATTTTCAATACAAAGAAGGTTCTATTTCATTTTTCTCCACACATGGGTCCTGTCTGTGTTTAAGGGGAGATCCCAATTTCAAAGATTACATACTTTGGGATGTATGTAGCAGTTCATTAAGGAATTCATTTTATGATATGCTTCTCTTTGGCCTTCACCAAACACATCTTCTATAAATACACACCAAGGGGAATAGCAATATACAAATCGGGAGCAATTTAGGTTTGTCTATGGAACCATCAAATGCACGAGCGTTCGCTAGGTAAAGTACTCAAGTTATCAGGAAACGCAACTATATATTTTGAAATAGAGACCGATAAAAATCGTCCCCTTTTCATCTGTCTGTCCTACATAGCAGAAAACTGAAATAAAGACATCTGCGTTTCTGATGTGAATACCGCGGTCGTCGCGGACTTTCTAAGATTTCGTTTCAGGGAAGCGTAACTGCATGGATTTTTCTTTTTTTTTCTTTCTCACTTTGTAAAAATGTTTTCTTATTTGAACATATCACTTAGTGTAAATATTATGCTTGTCATTTCATATATGAAAGGAAGTTTTAAAATTAAGTGTACATCACACAGACCAACCATGTAGGTATATTTCATATAGAGCGCTAGCGCTTCATAAAAAATATGCCTACAAACAAGATACTTTTTACATTTTCTTGACATTTTACATTTAATCAGTCAGGATACTTTTAACATCTTCTTAATTGATAAAATATTGATATATTGTATTTATTGATGAGTTCATTTTATCGACCATGAAACTTTTTGAAATATGACTTCTTGTTTCATCTATTTGTTTGTCTAAAAACTTACAGTCTATCTCCATTAAGAATTTGTTTATACGTCAAGCATGCTATCGCGTATCGAATCTTTTTGAAAAATATAAACCCTGTATACGGAAAGTATATTACTGCATAAGTAATGTTGTCGATGGAAAAGTAAATCTTATCACGTTTATCTTTTGGGTTTATTGTGAAATTACCTTTAATGTCTTTTTTAATAAAATATCCAAATATGAAACATAGGTTCTTTTTAACTGAATTATTTCTGTATATGAATACAAGGGGCCGTTTTACAGAAGAGCATTTTCTTGCACCAATCCTAACCATTTGGACGAAAACTGCAAAAGTTCAACATTTACCTAAATGCTTTCTATCATGCTTTCAGCTTCTTTTCCCATTTTCCATCACAAAATCGGTTTATCTCAATGTTAAATTAAGGAGCTACAATTACCTTGTCAGCAAATACAACTTATCACTGAAACAAATGCTGAGTGAAGTTTTTCATACTTATTCTTAGTCCATTATTTATACATTGAATTGACGACGGATTTTTTTCCGTTTTTACCCGATCATGACAAGGAGCACACGACGGATGTGACCGGTTAGCAGGGGGTGCTCACTCCTCCATGGCACCTGATCCTACCTCTGATGTTTCGAAGGTCCGTGTTTGCTCTGCTCCAATTTTGTACTGTTTTATGAATTTTGATATTGAATACTGTTCGTTATCTCCATATCCTTCTTCTACGAACTACCGTTTTTTTAGCAAGTTTTGAAAGACAAATCACACTTTTAATTATTACCTAACCTACTACTAGTATATAAATTGTAATTGGGCATTTTGAACTGTTTCACGATTCATTTTATGCTTTTGAGTGATCATAAAACAGTCGAACTGTTGACCGGGCAACAGAATTAACTGTTGCCTGGCTGAAATATCCTTTATGACGTCATTATCAATCTCCCGTACTTTACAACTATATTACATTGAATTATGCATAAAATAAAGCAATTTAATGGCATTCAATTTGAAATTATCATCTGAAAAGTAATCCTGATATCTATATAAATATATTTTTAATTTCATTTCACTTAAAAGAAGAGGCCAAGAACATTTTTTTCTGAAGGTAGTTTTGGAAAAATGTAGGACCCTTCATTCATTATAGATCTTTGCATTAAAACTCCAACTCAGCATGTTATATTCAAACCTTCAAGACATTATTATGTTGTTTAGAAATGAGGCACTGATAAATTGATATTTTATTAATGTATTGTTTTTAAACCAATCGGCGTGACAATTTGATTAGTCTATTGCTCAGTTTGATTTCAAGAAATAAAAAATGTAGCCGATTTATTCTAAAATCCATTGATTATTATGTCTATGTCATCACTTTAAGAAATTATATAGTAGGTTAGGTAATAAAACACTAATTTTATGACAACTCGGGAAACAGTCAAACTGTTGTCCCTCGATAATGGGGAAAACCTGGGAAACTATTGCCCTCGGCCTTTGGCCTCGGGCAACAGTTTCCCAGGTCTTCCCAATTTCCTCGGAACAACAGTTTGACTGTTCCCCTCGTAGTCATGAAAAAAGTGTATACTGTTACACATAACATGGATACGGTTATTGGCAGTGTTTTGTAGGTGTATCATGATTGATTGATAGATTGATTGATTGTATATAGTTTAACGTCCCTCCCGAGAAATTTTCACTCATATGGAAACGCCACCATTTGCCTGTGGAGAGCTGCAAATTTTGTTCAACTTTGGACCATTGAGCAGTGAGGGATCTTTTTTGTGACAGCGCCTACTGCAATACGGGACCTCTGTGAATACGGAATAATCCGAATGACCGGTCTCTACATCCCACAATGAGATTCGAACCCCTGACGTAAAAATCAACTCATTACGACACATAACAGACGCTCTAACCACTACATCATGCGGTCGATATGTGCTCTATGAGTAAGTCATAGTAATTAGATAAAGATATTTTGGATACCTTTTGAATAACAATTATTCCATTGTATTAATAAAATCATTTTTGTTTGGTGCAAACTAATCCAAAAGTATGTGTAATATTTACTTTTTTGTTTCAAAATAAAATGTTTACATTAAAGAGCTATCCGATGATATAAATATCCCATAAATAAGATTGCTTCCTGGCCTTACATAGATATTTCTGGTTATCTCAAATGACATTTCTCAGTTACCGTATGGAAAGATCGATATGTTTTCTCCTCAGAAAGAAAAACAAAAGTGAAGTTTTCATAGGGCGTTTTCTGGAAGAACAAGGTCCTTTCAGGTACAGTGAGCATTGCGATCTTAGAGTCTTATAAGTATTTTTTTCAGGCCAGATGGCAATGACGGACCCCACTTGCGTAGCACGGGGCCTATTCAACAAGAGTTGTAGAAATATGGACTATTTTGACGCAAGTATCCTGTTCATTGTCAGCTTTGTCAAAACAGTCCATCCTAGTGAAAACAGCCAAAAATATTAGGATGTATGAAAAGGTTATGTTAGAGTGTGTACGAGAGATTCTATGAATTAAGCTGAGAATATGGAAAAATTAACAATTCAAAAGGTTTATTATTTCACATAAACTACGGAACGTATAAGTGTAATTTTGACATTTTTTTTAATTTTCATTTTAACACTGTAATCTGTACATTTTACATTTCATTTAGAAAAAAATACACTTGAATCTCGAACGCTTTCATTTGAATTTGTAAAAATAATATATATCCTGCACAGTGTATACTTCAACCTGAAAAAAAAAAACTATTTATACCCCCGCTCCGAAGGAGGGGGGAATACTGTTTAACCCTTGTATGTATGTCCGTCTGTCTGTCTGTATGTCCGTAACATTTTTTTTTCAACAACTACTCATCGGAGATGCTTCAAATTTTAACACAATCTTCTCTGAGGTAAACCATATGTTGGGAATAATTTTTGTTCAAATTTGATGTCAACTATCTGTTTGTCCGTGCGTCTATATTTCATACATGTTTCGTACCCCAGGTAGCAAGACATAGTTGGGCCAACATTGGCCCAATTTTTTTTCCAACGTTGGCCCTCTGTTGGTAACCTTACGTTGGCCCACGGTAATTTGCTCATCGGCCCAACGTTGGTCCACATGTTGGCATATTGTTGGGCAAACGTAGGTATAATTGTATGACCATCGGAACTTTTGACAGTTACTTTGGATATTTCACTATGAATTTCTGTATGTCTGTTATTAAAGTAAGTGGGTTGTCATAATTACTTTAAACTGTCCAATTTTTCTATTTGAAATGTTTATTGAATTTAATCAGCGATAAGTGCATGATAGGACTACATGGACTTTGTTTAAGCTACTTAATTATTGTTTATTCTATATCAATATCTTTAATTCTACTTGTGAAGCAAATGCATCATGTTATATTATATTACTCAGAATTTTCAATTATAAATCGTCAATCTTTTCTATAAAGGCAACCTTTCTTGGCGTGAAACTTAGCGCATAATTGAACCAAACCTGTAAGCGATTTATTAGGACCTGACCCTTCACACTGCACTTATGGCAGATATATTATTTTTTCAATTAAGAGAGAATAAATTTACATCATGCAGATTGTTCAGTAATTGTAGAGAGTTTCGGTTCTTACGTAACCTCGTCAAGGGTGAAAAACATAAATCACAAAGTTCATTCAAGGTGAGATTTGATTATCTCGTCACCTATGGTTTTGTGTTTGCTGTAATTAAGCTATGATTGGTTGCGAATTGAATAAAGTTGTGCATTCTGGATTTCTAAAAATGACATTTCAATATCCATGTATCCGTTTTCAAGTTCTTTTATGCAGGGGTTTAAATTGGGTACAGTGATGATTGTTCTTTAGTGTTTTTAGGATTAGTTTTGTTTCGATCGCTTTGTGTTGATTGTTTTTTTTTTTTGACAATAGGATCAATTTGTGAAGAGGAGAAATCTCGCCACATTTTTTCTTTTTTTGGAGAGAGAGTTCAAAGAGTTGTAATCGGAACCTACCTGTCCTTGATACACTCCGACCTAACAAGAAATAAAAGTCTGGAAATCGTAAGGCCGCTTTATCTTCATTTTACAATAGTCAACCCTAATTGCTTAAAAACGCATCTAAAATTAGGATGTGATACTAGTTTGCATAACAGAAGATACATTGAAAGTGTTTCAATGAAGTTTTTGCAAATTAACATGACCTTTTCTGAGCGACTATATGTATTCCTGATGTTGAAAATAAAGCTTTTTAAGAATTTTCGTTAGATACCAGGGATTCTTCTTTGACAGCCTTATTCCACCTTCATACATGACCAGTGTATAACATATAAATGTTATTATTTATCAGTAAATGATAACTACTATCAGAAGATAACCCAACCCTACATTTTTTTTTGTATATTATTCTAAATTTAAACTATCTCAAGAAAAAAAAAATTTCTTGATTTCTATGTTTGAATAATGCCTTTCTTAATATACATTTAATATATTTAAAATTTTCACTTACGGGAATAATTTCTTTTAATTTTTTACCCAGAGAAATACATGATTTAGTAGTATTAACTTATCTTCTCTACAATTCTAAAATAATATAAATTATAGTCTTGATATCAGATAAAGTCAAATACGAACATGGGAAAATTGGTTATCTCGTTATATAAATAAACTTTTATGTTTATTTTAATAAGGAAGTTGTTTTCATGACAGGTAAACGAGATGATGCAAGCCCAGGTTTTGTCTGCTGTTTTGAATGAAGTAAAAATACTGAGAACAATAAACTATGGACAGAAGTATATAACTGATCTCAAATATTCATATAATGGAAATGTGTGTGTTTCCGTTATAAACATGAAAAACGGTACTCCTATCTGGCATATCAGCTCACATAGAGTATCATTTGGCCAACGTAGAGGCATACGTAGCTCTATAAATTTTTTAACTTCTCATGGATCATGTATGTGTTTAAGGAGGGAAGGATTAAGATATCTATTTTTGAAAAATGGATGCTTAATGTCAAGTGACAAAGACATGAGAATAAACAAATTTTGGCCTTCGTCAGATGAACTATTGGGTGAATACACGCCTAATGGTTTAGCAGTGTGTAGATCAGGAGCCATTTTGGTCTCTCTCTGGAACCATCAAGTACATGACCGTTCTCTCGGCAAAGTTATCAAGGTGTCTAGCGGGGGAAGCAAAGCATTAGAAATAGAAACAGACAAAAATCGTCCTCTTTTTATTTGTCCTACCTACATAGCAGAAAACGGGAATGAAGACATCTGCGTCTCTGATGTGAATACCGTGGTCGTCACGGATGCCGGTGGCTTTCTGAGATTCCGGTACACAGCAGCACAAAGTGACCCTCAATTTGATCCATACGGCATCTGTTGTGATTCCAAGAATAACATCATTGTAGCAGACATGGTGAAAAATAGAATTCATATGATTGATCAGAACAGTGAACTGCTTCGCTACATCCACTACAGTGACATGAGCATGCCACGTGTTCTCTGTATAGACGAGGAGGACAACCTGTATGTTGGGGAATGGTTGTCTGAAGAAATCAAAGTCCTCTCACCTCAGTGAAATAGGGTTGCTTCATCTAAAAAGAACATGTTTTTAAAAATATTTTTATTTATGATGTCATTTTATTGTATAACCTAGAGTTATTATCGTTTCATTTGCTTCATATTTTTTTTATATAAATTCTTTTGCGTTTTAACTTTATATACATGATAACGTAAAAGTATGTTTGATTTTTCAAAGAAGCGCCTTTAGATGGAGTTTTTTCCCGTTTCAATGAAGGCTAATGATTTTCTTCTGAAGAATATGTTGCTACATAATGACTGACCCATTTCTATAAAAAGGAAAACGTGGTGGCTTGTTGTTTGAACTGATTGGTGTAAAACTCCAGTCTGCATTGAAAGACACCCCTCTATTGTATGGAAATTTCACATGCTTAATTTCAATACCGATGTAACTGTTATTTTATATAAACAATTGCTAATCAAAGAAGCAATGTATATAAGCATGAGTAAACACGTTTTCAATCGAAGAATGTTTAATAGCTTAAACAGACATGACATGATATATAAATACATGTAATAAACATTATTATGTAGAAAATTGTTGTAATACGTACATTTTGCAGAAACTGGGGTCTCTCACGCTTACAAGTGTATTATATCTAATTCCAGCATAACTGTTTGAGCGAATCCCATAGCATTGGGTGTCTTTTGAAACATTGCGACAAATATTCAAATCTAAAGAAATGGACGCTTCGTTATGTATCGATTGTTATTCGATAGGAAGACCAAAACGCTTCATTCAATCAAAAAGTTTTACCAATTCAATGCACTTCATTTCTTGAATAATTTATATGATGAAAGGGATTAACTTGTGTGTATTTTCCACATATATATATTTTATGATTACACAATTTCTTATCTGGTTTTAATGAATAACCTTTGAATAAAATGACGAATGTATTTAACCATATTCATTTATTGGACCATATAAAAATGTAACACGTTTTTCCTTTTAAAGAAAAGTTTTATACTTATATAATTTCAGTTTGTAATTAGAATGATATATTCATTTTCATTCATATTTTATACTTGTCTGAATAAAGTGATTTTTATAGTAATGTATTTTTTCTCTGATGTCCTAATGATAAAAATGGGAAAATGGAGATAAAAATGCCATTGTATTATGAAACTATCTAGTTATACAAATCCATGACCAATTATCAAATGCTTTTGCATTGCTTGAAGAAGCTTAGATTCAGGTTCCACAGTAAATTGAGGCAATAAAGAGGCATACAGAGACAAGTCTAGCACTGAGAAACATTTATTGACAAAAATGCAGGTACTATGCAAGGCAGCTGTAAGAGGATTATATAGGCTGGAACATTATAATATATGAAATGTTTACGTCATCAAAGAAAAGATGATTCGCCTTTAAAAAGTCTCTATTTAACATGAAATAAAGCACTTTTTTTGCTCATTTTAAAATCCTGTTTTAAACCATTTCTTAAAAACACTAGAGAAAAAAAAAAACAATATTAATATATGGTCCCTTCAAGAAAAATAATATTTGTTGGCATGTTTGCGTCATATTTTTTTGAAAAAAAACCCTGAGAATTATATGTTTTGGTCACTTTGGAGCTTACATTTGGAATGTGTTTACGCTACATATTTGCAATGAATAGCGTGTAACAGTCTGTTATAGATACGATGCAACTCTAGTTCCATAAATATAGTAGAGAACTGATATTTGGACACATATAATAAGTTATCTCCATCCTTTAAACACTACAAAGGTCAAGTTTATATCAAGAGATCAAAGGTCAAATATTGTGACGACATCTACTGAATCTTTTATTTTTATTTTTTCCATTGAACTTTTTTAATCGTCAGAATATCTGAAACCTTTGCTTAGATATGTTAAGGAAGGTCATATATATATATAGGTCAAATTCGTGGTGCACTGTAGAAGCATAATTGTGACGTCACGGGTAATTTACCAAACCACAAAATTGATTAACGATATTGTGATGCGTAAATAACAACTTAGATTTATTCATTTTATCAATTTATAAAATCTTGTAAAATTGTAGTATTTGATAGCAAAACAGTTGAGTAATAGAAGAAAACCTCTTGTCAAATATGGCATCGTCAACCTTTAAATGACGCTGCACAGGTGATCAAGAGGACTAGATTCACTGGTTGAATAGTTACAGTGCCTAAATGAATATGATATCATCGCTATTTTTTAAAATAATCATTAAAACTAAAACAAAATAATTTATTAAGTACAATTTGTATAGAATATGAACTTAACTACTATAGTATTGAAGCTGCACAGAGACAAGGAATGTAGAGAATATCGCTAGATCAGCAATAAGCGTATCCGAGACTTACATCAAAAGTACAAGGGCATAGACTATTTTGTTTGAGCTGAAACATGGAATGTTTATTGCTTATATAGTGTATATTTTGAAGAGTGCTAGGAGCTGATCCCGGTCTGCATAACATTGTCTTTATTTATAACAGAATTAAAGCGAAGTGGGAATTTTAAGCCATTATACACATTTCTGGCAAATTTTCTGTTACTTCCCGAACACCACTGACTAGCTCTCAGAACTTTTTGGGTAGAGGAAATTAACATCTTTAAACGTGTATCATTTTTTTCTTGAAAAACAAGCGTATACCCTTGTACTTTCCTCATTTCCTTTCTTCAGCTTAACAATTCTATTTTTATACAAGTCACGTGACAAACAGCTGATACATGCGATATAACTGGTACTGTGTACGACTCAGTCCTGTCACTTATTGATAACTATATTACATTTTCTACGGGTATTCAGTAGCGTTGTTACATTTTTTTAAAAGGTGCTTAGGTCAGAGTTTCGATATCGGTCCTTAACATAGCCGAGTGGTCTAATTTACTTTATTTTTACACATTTTATCCTACAACCTAATTGAATCATTTTGTTAATTTTTGTAAAAATTGAATAATACAAGTGAATTTTCAATTTTCCAGAGTAACAAGGATAATTCTCTAAAATGTTTTTTCCCTTTCAAGATATAACTGAAAAATTGCTGACTAGACTTTAATCAAAAACGATTAAAATATGACTCTTCTTACAAGCCATAATTTACGCATTATATGATATATCATAATTGAACTTTCCAGATGTAGGACGTTCGCTGAGACGATTAGATCCCAACAGGTAAAGTTGAATGTACGTATTACATGTTTTCTTAGCAATTTACTGTTCGAAATAGAAATGTTACACTGCTAATGCACTGAGCAAATTTGACTTAAAAATCTAACGTCCAATCCCTTAACAAATATACTCTTGGTCTATGTAAATTGTTAGTTCATGTATACCTATTTCCTGTCAATCATTTACTGTAAGCAAACATTTAGCCGCGTGCGAGAAATTTTCGCGAAGTTTGCGAAAGCCTCGTTATCGCGAATATTTTTCGCCTCGAACCGGTCCTTATAGTGTATTTGTCTATTAAAAAGAGATGAAAAAAGGCTTGATCACGACAATTAATCGTCGCGAACTAGTTTATCCATGGTAAATCGCGAAATAAAGTTGTCGCGAATACAAGTTGGTTTACAGTACATTGATTTTTTTAATAAGCATATTAAGTGCTTTTATATTTACATATATTTTAAAACTTTTAAGATCTTGGGCACAATTGGTTTTTCCTGACTTTCATACAAAACGTTCATGGTGTGATAATGTTAAAAAGTCCAAATTAAATCAAGTAAAGACAAATGAAGAGGTTAAGTTGAGCAATGTGTTCTTACGAAGGGCTTTAAATATTGGTCAAACACCTGCAGTGATGGCCGTAAAGTGACACAGAAAAGTTTTTTTTCTACACTAAATAATTTCGTCCTATTTTTTACCCCCTTTATCCCGTTGATATAGCTAATGTAATATTGTTTTTGTATCCCACAGCTATGACGTCACAATGGGTTTTGCGTTAGCGTTATGGAGTAAAATAAATTGGAATCCTATACAAAAACAGTATACATGAAACACATCGAATGTGGTGTGTAAAGCAAAGTATAAAACAAGGGATAAAAAGAAACACACATAATTTGTAATTGGATATGATTTTTATCCACCTCGCTGAGTGATTTTTATCCATTCGCCAAGGCCCAGGGATATTAAACACACAACTCTTTGGATAAAATCATATCCAGCTACAAATCATGTGAGATCCTATATGAAAATTTTAATTTTCTAGTGTCACAGATGAAAAATTAGTATAATAAACCATTGAACCTTTTCACAGCTACTTTGGATATTTTGATATGAAATTCTGCATTTCTGTAACTAAATTGAATAAATGCTCCAATCTGTCAGATTTATCTATTTAAAATGTTTATTGATTTTAATCAGCCATAAGTGAATGATATGACCGGATAAACTTGTCTTTTATCTACTATATAATTGTTTATTCTATATCATTATCTTTAATTCTACTTGTAAAGCAAATGCCTCATGTTATATATAACTCTGAATTTTCAATTATCAATCATTTCAATCTTGTCTATAAACGCAATTTTTCTTGGTATGAAACTAAGCGACATCAATAAACCAAACTTGTAAGAGATTTTTAGAACCCGACATTCTAAACCACACTCATGGTAGATATATTTCTTGCACAGAGAAGATAAACTTTGTGAATACTGTAGACGTATTTTTTCTACGGGGTTATAATTCCGCAGAATCTCAATTTTAATTTAATCCGCGGGTAGAAAATTAAACAGATTTTCTAGACTGTCACTATATGCCTTACATTTATATTAACTACGCTTGGACAAGTTTCCGCGGAAAAATTGTGACCGCGTACATAGCGTAAATTAAAACAACGCGGAAAAAAGTACTTCTACAGTAATTCAAATAATTAAGTAGTGTTTTAGTGTTCCGGCTGTTACGTAGCCTCTTCAAGGGTCACAAACATTAATCAAGAAGTTCATTTAAGGTGAGACTTGATTATCCCATCACCTATGTTTTGTTTTTTGTAGGCTATCATGATTGGTTGCTAATTTATAAAAAAAAAACTTGTGCATTCTGAACTCCTAAATTGATATTCTAATATCCCAGAAACTGTTATCCCTGTCCTTTTATCAACGGGTTGAATGAGTAACCAGTACTGCAGGGTACCTTAACGGGTGTTCTTTAGTGTTTTTGTGGATGAGGTTTGATCGGTTTGTGTTGATCCTTTCTTTGACAATAGCATCAATTTCTGAAGTAAAATTATCTCGCTTTATTTTTTCCTTTTTAGTTATCATTCAGAGAGTTGGATTCGGGAACGTACCTGTCCTTGATACGTATACTCTCCGACCTAACAAGAAATAATAGTCTGGAAAGCGTCAACCCCAATGGCCTAAACAAAACAACCACACATCTAAAATGATGATGTGATACTAGGTTCCAGAACAGGGAATACATTGAAAGTGTTTGAATGAAGTCTTTTTTTTTTCAAAAACGTTACATTCAAATTTTGTACAAATTGAAGTAAATTTGTTAAAACAATCATCTTTTTTTCTTATATCAAATGGAAGAAAATTAAATTATAAGCAATGAATTTAATAGCTACCCATTTTATACGGTATAAACTGGGTTGGAACAGTTTACGCTTTTTTTATAAACCGCTTCGCGGTTTATAAAGCGTAAACTGCCCCAACTCAGTAACTGGCATTAACGTCCATAAGTTAAAAACTTGCAGACTTCTATTACAATTAACTTCTGTAGACATCATGGATTCTCATGATAATGACCTTTGTCCTTTTCAACTTTAGATTGAATGTATGGAACACCACTAGGACTTGAATTGAAAATAATTTAAATCTTTAAATAAAAAAGTAAAATGTGAATGCTACATGTAGTATAGTCAACGCATTTTCATTGTTTTCGCCCCCTATTTAATAGAAATTTCAATTTTGTACATATTTGGAACTTAAAAGGTGTTATGAAGTATCCTTTGTGATCTAAGGTAATTAGATTCAATGATTTAATTGTTTTGCAAAATTTAGATGCAACAATTGATGAATGCATTATATTCTTAATTTGATTTTTTTTAACATAATAGGTGAACAAGGTGATGCAAGCCCAAGTTTTGTCCGCCGTTGTGAATCGAGTGAATATAAAGAGAACGATAAATTATGGTCAGAAATATATAAATGATCTTAAATATGTAAATAATGGAAGGGTGTGTGTTTCAGTTGTAAACTCCCAAGAGAACACGCTTCATTGCCCTTGCTGAGTAGTAAGCACGACAGTTTAATATTAGTATAATATTTGATTTATTGTATCTCGTTTAGTTGTGTAGTGATGGGCCATTGTAAGAGTTGGAAAATTCAATTATGAGAGACGTACGAATTGATAACAATTAAGGAAATTATTCTTTAATGAACTTGCCATTTGTCGCATCACTTAAAGATCTTTGTGTTCTTCCCGAGTCGCTTGTTACGTTATTATGAATATTTACGTCAAATATTTATTGTAACTTTAACTACTTTATGCATCTTATTTCCAACTTAATTAAACATACAGTCATTTAATATATATAGGATATAAATAGACTCCTACAAATTCATCATTTCAAAGATCTTTGATCGATTCAATGAGCTCATCAGTAATTTACAATCTATGATTATGTCAAAAACTAACTGACGTTTTTCATACTCATTGCTAAGCTGTTATTTACACACTGAAATTTTCTGATTACCATAAAATGACAAGAAGCATAAGGTGAATGTGGTCAATCGACGAGGAATGCTTACTTCTCTATGCCTCCTATTCGCTCCTCTGATGTTTTTTGGATGTTCGTTTTTGACCCCCCCCCCCATTTCTTGCTATTCAAATTGACTTTGATCTTTAATACTGTTTGTTATATTCCTAATATTTTTTTCTTATTGCCGATCACTGGAATTTTTTTTTGTTTGTATATATATATCTTTATCAGGACGGACAACTTACCTACTGTGTAAATAATTCTCGGGTTTTATCAACAAAAAACCCATGTATCATTTTAAAAAAAAATATTTCCCAATATGACGCATTTTGCCTGCCATAACTGAGGCAAAACATGATATGAATCCTGCATTTAAAACGAAAGTGAACTGGACATTTTTATTGAGGTCGTACATTATAACAAATCAGGTAAAGCCGTGGTTAACTTGGTCTGATAAAATATTTTAAAAGACTTTAAGACTTTTTATTGTATGATTTAAAAAAAAACTTTTGAATCAATACAACACATTTTCTTTTCCTTACTGTTCATCTCCGAATGCATTGATAATAAGCCGACCCTAACCAAACTTTATGTAAATGTTTCGTACATGATGTAAAATACAGTTTTTGTTTTCAATTTAATGATAAAAGTTAACTTAACTCGGCACGTTTTCAATTGCAGTTGTAGAAAAAACAATAATGTGTAATGTGTACAAAATTTTTTACATGGTTTCTAGCCCTTAATTAAGCTAAGGTTATTTTCTATATGGCACACCATATGTGTAAAATGACATTCACATGTATTTAAAAAGGGCTGGCATTAATGTCCATAATTAAGTTAACAAAAGGTCTTGCGGATTTCTTTTACAACCAACCTCGGTAGACATCATGAATTATCGAAATGTCCAAAAATGATAATAATCTTTGGTCTTTTGAATTTTACAGTGAATGTATGGAATACCAATAGAAGTTGAATTGAATATAATTCAAATAATCTTTATATGAAAATATATAATGTAAATATGAGTAGTTAACGTATTTTTACTGTTTTTATCTCTATATTTAATAGATATTTCAATTTTGTGCCAATTTTGAGCTAAAAATGTTATGAAATATCATATTTGATCTGAGGTATTAAGATTTAATCATGTAATTGCTTTGCAAAATTTAAATGAAACAATTGACGAATGTATTATTTTCTTAATTTGACGATTTTTTTTAAAATAGGTAAACAAGGCGATGCAAGCCCAAGTTTTGTCCGCCATTGTGAATCGAGTGAATATAAAGAGTACGATAAATTATGGTCAGAAGTATATAACTGATCTTAAATATGTGAATAATGGAAGGGTGTGTGTTTCAGTTGTAAACTCCCAAGAGAACACGCTTCATTGTCAGTTTAGAGGTGGCTCGAATTCTATTCAATATTTCTGTAATTATGGGGCCTGTTTGTGTTATATCCATGGTAGACATTACTTAGGAGATTACGGAATTGTCATATATTCGGATAACAGATCATTGTTGAGTTATAGTATTCAGCCTCAACTCACAGGTCCAGTTTTGCCTTCGCAAAATGAACCATTGGATGGATACATCCCAAATGGAATAGCAGTGTGTAAATCGGGCTCCTTATTAGTTAGTCTATGGAACAATCAGGTGCACGACCGTTCTCTAGGTAAAGTACTGAAGTTATCTTATGCGGGAAATAAACTTTCTGAAATCAAAACAGACAAAAATCGTCCCCTTTTTATCTGCCCGTCCTACATAGCAGAAAACGGCAATGGAGACATCTGCGTTTCTGACGTGAACGCCGTGGTCGTTACAGACGCCGGAGGCTTTCTCAGATTCCGTTACACGGGAGCACAAAGTGACCCTCAGTTTGATCCATACGGCATCTGTTGTGATTCCAAGAATGACATCATTGTAGCTGACATGGTAAAAAACAGAATTCACATGATTGATGAAAATGGCGAGCTGCTTCACTACATTCAGTATAAAGACATGCACATGCCGCGTGCTCTCTGTATAGACGAGGATGACAACCTGTATGTCGGGGAATGGTTGTCTGAAGATATCAAAGTACTCTCACATCAATGACGTAAAAATTATTTTATCCATAAAAGACTTCTTGTAAACATTTTTATTCATATTATGTGATCGTATTGTATTTCACAATTAGATTAATATAATATTATTTGCTTAATATTTTTAAAGTTCATTTTAATCATTAAGCATTTTTCTGTATAAAAGTTGTAATGTAAAAATCTGTTAAACATTTCAAAGAAGCGCCTTAGAGTTTTATTTTTTCGTTTCAATAAATTGTCATGTGCTTTCTTCAGAATAAATTGTCTCTACAGAACGTTGCATTTCTACAGAAAGGAGAAAGTTTTTGTTGTAGGGACGGATGGATGTCTCAAAAGCTTTATTTGAATACCCTTTAAAGAGGTTTTCCATAAATAAATCAAATAATCAAATAGGGCGTGTGTATCGACACTGAGTAAACATGTGTTCAATCAATACACATGCTTTGATAAATGAAATAGACAAAACATGACTTACACCTACATGTAATATATGCACATGTAATCATACATGTATATACATTCCCGATTCTGTAAAATTACCATCTTGCAACGAATAAATATATGTACTTCATTATATATCTCAGTTATTTATCATCATAACAGTTTAAACTCATTCTGAACTCCAGCCTATGATGCCTGTTTATTACACGTCAACCATCAAAGTTTGAGGAGGCAGAGTCCCTAATGACATTGGGCCTATCATGAGTTTGTTCATCTACACCCGGGATCTTGATTATTTCAGTGAGAGGACACACCAAGTGAAATAACTCTTATAATCCTTGAGCTGGGTCTGAACAACTCAAGTCAGCTTTTGAATTTTATTATATCATTCCTAGATGCTTCAATATGCAATTCCTTTTACCCTGAGGCCCCTTCCTGACCAGAGCGGCTCACAGGCTCTAGTTCCCAAACTGTATAAAAAGCAGCAGAGATAGACAAATCCAGCTCTTGTCTTTTATTTAAGAAAAAATCCGTTTATTTTATGATCACAATAAATACAAAAAATAGTTTGAACACAGTACATACTAAACATCATAATAAAGATACTGTGTTACAATATAAAATATTTAAACCTGTAAATAAAATAAACCATGTGAAAACTTAAAATGTTTTACAAAAACACGCAAGTCTACCAATTGCAAATAATCATACCTGTATAAAATGAAGAGACAGACACAAACTAGCTCTTGTCTGGCATATGTCCGTCTTCCGCTCATTTTATACCCCAATTCTTCCTCCATTTCTCATCTCCATCTTTAGATCGCCTTAAAAATTTCAAATAATTACTTTAACTTCAATTTTGAATTTTTCATTATAATTACTCTGTCCTCCAACTCTCTTTGTTTACTAATGTATTTAAAAACAGTTACTTACTGTCTTTTGTAAAATCTTTTAATTTCACTTGGTGTATTTAATTTATTCAAACAACTGACCCCTGGTCACTTAAATGTTATTGGTCGCTCCTTCATCGTAACCAAATACATCTTTATATAAACAAAAAAAAAAACTGCATTCCAAATGACCCATTTCTTGGAACCGTTCGGGTTAAACACTACTAAGTCAAAAACTTACTGACATTCCCATTTTTTACTGACAAACTTAGAAAATTACTGACAATGTGCTGTCGTTACTGTAAAACTTAGACATTTACTGACCCTTTTACTGCCGGTACTGATAAACTTAGAAAAGTGCTGACAATCTTAGTCGGTGCTGATAAACTTAGACAATTACTGACCCGTTTACTGTCCCTGCTGAAAAACTTAGACAAGTGCTGACATTTACTGATAATTACTGTCCCTATTGTTCTCGCTCTCGGGGAGGCTGCAGTGGTGTGAAAAAGACTGGGTTTTATATTTTGAATTTAAAAACAGTCTTATTTAATTTTTGATGAAAAAAAAAACCCAGACAGTTATCATTTTTTTAATCTAAATATTATTGATATCTGTAAAATATTTCAGAATATGATTTGAAATTAACTATGAGTAAATCAATTTTAAATTTATGTGTTGAATATATCTATCCCTGTTTAATCAAAGAATTAAAATTAATTAATCATCAAGTTAGTTTTCATCTATTTATTTCTTTGCAGACAGATATCTGACTTTAATGTTGAGCCCCCCCCCCCCCCCGTTTTCACGATCGGAAAGTTGTATCAATTTTCTTTTCACAAACAGGACAGATTTTTCTTATTAAAAAGGGAAATCTTCTAAATATTGAATAATTACTGATAGGTATTTCAGTTTCCTAATGTTCTCGGACATTTGTACAAGTCATATAATTATTTACCCCTGTTTAAGATGTACAGTTTCATTTGCTCATACGGGAGTTCCCCTATTGAACAGAACAGTGTTTCATATATAAACTTGTACTATGCCTTGTTAATTTTGTCACTTATTTCTAAATGAATGGTTGGTTGATCGATTACGCAGGGTTCATAAGTACCCAATGTCTGTAAGTCCGAGACTAATAAAAAATTATCAGACTAGTAATAAAAATTAATGTACTAGCAATTATAGAAATCTTACGGAAAATATTTATACTTAATAGGTCAGCGGTAATTAGCAGTACATGTAGCACAATACTCAAATTTTTTCATAATCTCTCTCTCCCTCCCTCCCACTCTCTTAAAGATATGGTCGGCGGTAATTAGCAGTAGCACAATTCTCAAATATTTTTCTTCTCTCTCTCCCTCCCCTTCTCTCTCTCTCACTCTTAAAGATACAAACAGTATTGAGACTTTAATTTACTTAAATACTTGAGAAGTGCTGCGTTTATTCACGGATTAGACTACTATTTAATTTTTAAACTTAATCTTTAAGTATTTTTAATCATGATTCAATTTTAACAAAAATATTACATGTTTCGTACCTTCCATTTTTCCCCTGTAACTATCGGTAAATTGGAATTATTTTAATTTTATGTGCTGAAATTAAATTTCATCTCATTAAAGTAGGTAGGCGTAGGGTGTTATGATGTTAACATGATAATAAGGCAGGATGCGGACTTGTCTAGTAAAATATTTAACGAAGTAGTGAAAATTGGAAGTCATTAGTCCGTCGAACCAGTGCTCCTAAATATTTATTTCGAACCCTCTAGCATATATGTATAAGCCCCCCCCCCCCCCCCCCCACACACGTTACATGAAAAAAAAATCTAGTATACCGGTACTTGAATATGATTTTTTTAAAAAAAAGTTAGTTTTTTGAATGAAGCAAATTTCTTTGTCCATTTGATCAATTTATACCCGTCCCGTAATCATTATTTATTTGATTCAGGTTTCATTAACATCTTCCTTTTCATAAGATTAAGAATATTCGCTAAGTGTAGGTTCCTACTATCTTCCGTGACGAGTTACCATTCATCTCTCTCTCTCCCTCTCTCTCTCTCTCTCTCTCTAAAACATTTATATCAATATTGACCCAGGCAAAGCAGGCAAAGTTTAAAAATACATGTATAGTTAAACTCCGGCTGAGTTTTTTTTTTTTTATGTCATAATACTTCTGCATATAAATTGTGTTTGATTTTTAATTGGAAATATACTATGAACTATTTTTGATAATCAACAAAAAATATTATGAGCCAGTAATTTTTACGAAACTTTGGATGTAATGTACCCCTTCTCATATATTTATTTTTGCTTAAACAATTTGTGCCTTTTCCCGGATGGTTTTTACATCAATCTTTTTTTTTTTCATTAATCATTAATTTTATCATACGTCCTCGGTATTACTATATTGAAAAAAATATTCATTTAATCTAAGAAGAAGTTGAAGGATTGTAGATTGCATATTTATATTTTGTATGTGTTGGTGTTGAATTTCTCAAATTCAAACTGTCTTGAAGAAGAGTCTACCTGTCGCCGTAATGTTGCGTAACTAACTTCCAGTTAAATCCGGCGAGTGTTCCTCTGTAAAATACGGCAGTGACACCTATTGTCTTCTTAACCCGCTACCGTACACACTCGGATCGCCTCAGGCGATATCTTCTACACACAGGTGCTTCACAGAGTGTCCGATTGTTGAATGATTATGTAATTCGGCTGGATACCAGCTAAACGACTTGAATAATTTTGGACGAATAAAAAGCACAGTGTTACTGTAAAATCATGATACTGGTTTCAATACCGCACAAAGCTATGAAACGTCGATTTATTAAGTTACTAATTAAATTCATTAATTTTTTGTACCTAAACAGATAAAAAGGAATACAAACTGAAACACGACAGTATTAATTGTGTGTTCTACTTTAATAAAATAAATAAGTACATGTTCATCGTTCTTCATTTAGTTCGCACGTGCACCCCCTCCCCAATTTTAATTTGAAAAGACAAAAAGAAACTAGATCTATGTGAACATCTACCGACACTCTAATTGAAAAGAACGGAACATAGAAATTAATTTCTATCAAAGTTTTGTTTCAGGAGTATGCATAGACATAAGATGGTAATATAAAATGTCATAGTTTTTCATGTATTTGAATTAAAATAACACTTTCAGGTGGGGATCCAGAAAATCCAGATTCGAAAATCAGCTAAAAGATGCACATTATTTTAAAAGACTAATGCGGACAGTAACTAAATCAATGAATATCAAAGGATCAATGATCAATGTTGGCCCGTAGCCCCCCCCCCCCCCCCCGCCCAAATAAAATAAGAAGTCTTTTTTTTTTAAATTTAATTCCACCGTCTGTCTCTTAATTTTGGTTTCTTCTTGCAAATGCTTGGATTCGGGTATGTTTGACTGCACAAAAACAAATGTGGGCGGCCTCCACATAATTAAAAAATTTACATAATATGAAATCTATAACAAACGCCTCTCTCAAAAAGGGGCACCCACGGCCTCACCGCGCGCTATGAGTTTATTAAAATTATTCAAACTAATTTGACTTAATTAAATTAAAATTGAATAAAACACATCTAACCTAACAGTTTAATTCTTTAAATTAATATTAAAGAAAGTCAGGGAGTCAATGTTAATTAAGGAAATATTATAAAATGCATGTCATGTAATAACAA